TTATTGTTTCAGAGGTCTCGGTTCATAGATGGCCCACTCCATTGCCCCAGGTCTGAGAGGAGGTAGAACATCATGGTGAAAGAGTGTGATAAGAAGAAAGCAGCTGGAAATGTAGCACCAGGAGGCAGAGAGAAAGAGCTCTGTGTGGGAAGCCAACCTTACAGGTGACTGAGTTACACTCCTCAGCTGGGTGCTGAGGCGTTCAGTCACAGAAATGGGTGTGTCTTGCTATAGCCCCATGGGTAGAAGCTGCGCTCAGCTCACCTGTTCCTTTGTAATGTAACCCTTGCCCTGTTTAGGATAGAATCTTCCATGGAAGTGCCTTGTGTGTGTCTCCTCCTCTTACTGTGCCCTTGGGTGTGGCCTACCCAGGTGTCAGTCAACCTGCTGACAGTGGACATCATGAAGATAGACTCAGCCCCCTGAAACTTGACCCCTTGCCTCATTTGAATAGCTTCTCCTCAATAAAAGGGGTCAGCGCGTGCTCTCTCTCTCTCTCTCTCTCTTTCTGCAGACCCTTAGGGTCAGAGGAGCAGTCACAGCAACCCCAAAGAAAAAGGTATTTGTATCTCTTGTGTGGTTATTTCGTGCAGCCCAGTTAGCCCAGTTTAACTGGAGTGACCCCTGAGCCTTTTAGTCAAAAGATCAGAAACCCGGCAGCTCTGCTCACAAGGACAAAATATATACCCCAAGGGACCCACCTTCTCTAGCCAAAGTCACCACCCAGTTAATTCTTATTAGGGGATTAATACACTGACTTGATTAAGACTCTCATAACCCAATCATTTTATCTCTTAACTTTCTTGCATTGTCTCACCCATGAGATTTTGGAATATACTTCATATCCATAGTATTCTTTAATTGCTATCCATGTTTTATTGGTGTTCAGGGACCCAAGTGAGCTAAGGTACTGGAAAATAGTTTATAAATTAGAAAACGCTAAATGCAAAGTCTAAGACCTCACTTTAGGTACAACTCTTGAATAATTGGAATTTTAAAATGTAACTCCTAGAAGTTTCATTTTCTAAAACACCATTAAGGTAGATTCTGGAATAAAATGCACTTATCTTGATCTCCTACAAAGACATTTTTTTTTTTATGCTGTGGGCAAAATGTGATGAGCAGATGGGTTTGGTTTGGGCTGCATATTGTTTAAAAAGTAATCTGAAAAATGTTTTTTAAAATAGTGAGGTCCTAATCATTTTAGTGATAGCCTGTTCAAACAACAACAACAACAAAAAAAAAGGCTGGGATTGTGGTTTAGTAGATAAGTTCTCCTGGATTCAACTCCTACTACCAAAAAATAAGAAAATTTTTAAAGCATGTTTGTTTTAGGCAGCTTTTCTGCTGCTGTGACTAGAAGACCAACGAGAACAATTTAAAGGAGGAAAAGTTTATTTAAGGGTTCACAGTTTCAGAGATCCCTGTCCATAGAGAGCCAGTTCAGTTCTTCAGGGCTTGAGATGAGGAAGAACATCCTGATTGAAGAGTGTGGCCGAGGGAAGCAGTTTGCATGATGATCCTCAGAGAGCAGAGAGAGAGACTCTACTTGACAAAAATATATACCCCAAAGGCACACTGTCAATGACACACTTCCTCCAGCCACACCCTACCCACCTTCATTTACCACTCAGTTAATCCTATCAGGGGATTAATTCACTGATAGGGCTAAGGCTCGAATAACCCAATCATCTCTCTTCTAAACTTTCTTGCATTGTCTCACACATGAGTTTTGGGGGGATACCTCATATCTAAACCACAACAATATTTAAATGGAATTTTTTATATAAAATCTTATACTGGGCTCTTCAATTTTAAAATAAAAGGACTATCTTATAACAGGGGCAGAATTTAAGGTGAACTTAGCTGATTGGTAGCTCCTAACTTTCAGTAGTGCCTGAACACACTGGTTTGCCATAGTCTCCACCACTCCTAATCACCAGCTCACACTAAAGCTGAGCATCACTTTCTTTTTGTTGTCACACACATAAGTAGATACTATTTTTATGACACATTGTAGGCCAAGTCTTCTTGATTATTTACTTTATCTCAGACCATTGAAGGCAGCAGGGTTTTTATGTAGGGAATGCATTTCCTAGTATAAACCTAAAGAAAGACTAACCTTGCAATAAAATGTTATATTCAAAAGCAGAAAAGTATTTAATGGATTATTTTAAAATAATTCCATACTAAAAGGTAAATCAAATGTTACTGTCAAATAGAAATAAATTAATTTGATGCCACTCTCAAATGCCTATTAGACTAGATTTCCCCACATTTGACATGCATTTTTTTTTCTTCTAAGACCAGCATGTAACTGTACCCAAACCTATTAATGGGATTCTTACAAATCTGTAATTTCCAAATATTGTGCATGCATGAGTGTGTGTGTGTGTGTGTGTGTGTGTGTGTGTGTGTGTATTGATCCTTGTTTAGGGAGAGGTACCTCAGCTTTATTTTGATTCATCAATAGGATGATAACACCAAAATTAAGAATCACTTCCCTACAGAGAACTGAGGAAGGTACTTGAAGCTGTCTGAGCCTGTGTGAAATCATAGCACTTGTGGAAAGAAGGAATCCATATTAGTCAATTCTGATTCTGAACTTGAGCAGGTTGAGGAAAGAGAGAAAAGAGAAAGACATCTATTCATGTGTGTGCATGAGTGTGGCTGTTTATGCATGCAAGAATCCTTGGGATTGATGAAAATGTAATGGAAATATGTAAGAGAGCTAGAAATAGCATTTGTTGTCAGTGAGATCCTTTTCATTGGGAAATAGTTTTCCACCAGTCCCTCATGTTTCATCACATCTTGGGAACAAGGCTAAACTACCCCTTTTCCCTAAGTTATCTTTCCAAGGCTTCTTGCATAGCAACAGCTCAGAAGATATAGCATCTGTTTCTGGCACAAAAGGCAGTTTTATATGCTGCCCAGTGTGATAAAGATATTGTCTCCCTCTAGTTTAGAGTTTCTCCTATTTCTATAGGAGAAAAATCTAAGACCTGTCACTGTGTTGGACAACCTCCCGTCCTACCCTATCTTCTTTCTTAGAGCTTCTCAAGGGCCAATAGCTCCACCTATGTTGGCAACATCTACTATATTGGGTCACATTCCACTGAAACTCTGGAGCCAAATTACAAATTTAAAGTTTCTACATGATTCAAGTTCCTAACCCATTAGGATATTACTGCCATCTCAGAATTTTGGTATTCTGGTTGATCATAGGAAAAAACTTTAAAAAACACACTTTTATTTGAAAATTAATATTTCAATTAAGAGCAAATTAGGATCTCAGAGGATCAACGAAACTTGTAAATCCTCCCTCCAGATGTTTGTGGAACCATGGGGCTGGCACATTTACTTATCCCTGACAGATATAAAATGGCAGAGTATCTTCTCAATGTCCAGGGAACTCTGATATAGAACAAAACGATATAAATCTATCACAAAAAGTGGGAGAGTCTTACTGATTCATTCCACTGTAGTGCACCTTATCCTTCTAAAACACACCATTGACTTAAATTTGGGATATTAAATGGCTATTTGCAGAATGCTCACTCTAACATCAAGATTCTTACATCATTTATATTAAGGCGTAGGGGACATCAAAGTAAGCAAAAAAAGGAAAAACTATCTAAAGAAGTTGGAATATGCATTAGGGGGACAAATTAAATTGCTTTCTACTTATTTTGATTTTTGCAAAGTCAGTAGGACTTTCTGAGACTAGTAAATATGAGTCTTTTTAAAAGATGAATCTAAATTTGAACAACTATTACCTTTAAGTTAAAGCTCAGGAGACTGACTTCTATTGGTGTTTTACATATATATTTTATATATTCTTTAACACGTATATGTAAAAAAAAATTTTAAATAACTATATAGCAGGATATCCCCCATAGGTATTTTATTTCTCATTCCTTCCTTTGTATTTCTCACCTCTTTTCTTTGTTATTTAAGCCCTCACATCAAGACACTCTCTTTGGGGTGTTTACAAATGGTGACCCGAGAATATCAAAATGGTCCATCAAAAGTCTGCCTTCCAAACACACGAGCAGTGTAATCAACTGAAGAAATACTGTAGAGATTCACACTCTGCCCCCACTGTCCTTTGACAGCTGTGATATCCTATTGTTCAATTTTGCAACACGGCTTATGTTTTATTTATTTTTTTGCCAAGTTAAAATGAATTAAATTTTAATTTTATGTTGAAAATTGTTTTGAAAATTCAAAACACCTTGAGGTAACCGGAGATGCTCTAGGGGCCAAAGGCTGGAGGTGGAAAACAGGCAGGGAATTACAAAAACAGGGATGAAATGCCTGGTGTTAGAATCAGGACAGCTTTCTTAAGCATACTAATATCTTTCCAGGTGGACAAAATTTCTGCACATCTCTAAGATCAACTTTTCTAGATCCTACTTGTAAGATCATATGGTGTTTGTCTCTCTGCGCCTGACTTACTTCACTAACCTCGATGCTCTCCAGGTCCACCTATTGTTGTCTCAAATGGAAGAATTTCATGCTTTTTAATTTTTTTGATAGATGAATAATACTCCATTGTATATATCCACCACATTTTCTTGATCCATTTGTCCTTTGATGGATATCTAGGTTGATTCCACATCCTAGCTATTGTGAATAGTGCATCAATAAACAGGGAAGCAATTAGTATAACGTAGCGTAGTAATGGAATTTGACATGTTGATTTCATTTCATCTAAGAATAAATGCTATTCTTAGATGCTCCGAGAATAATAAAAGTGTAACCTACAAAAAAAAATAAAACCTGCAAAATTATAATGGGTAGAAGAAGAGATGTATACCACCCTTCGATCAAATGCCAGGGATACTCTTTATTAAAATAAAATATTTACTATAAAATTTATAATAATGAAATACAATATAACTTATGTTGTATTATCAAGTGAGTGCTTTGCCAGAAGTTGCAAGTGTTTAATTATTTTTTCTTAGAAAATGTCAAATTAAAAAAAAAACATTTCTTAATCAATTTAAGCAAGTTTTATTGAGATACACAGTGCTAGATGCCAAGAACATGTTGATGAATGAAACAGAAGGTCCTTGTCCCTGTAGGTCCTGCAGAGTAATGGCTGACATCTACACTGATGTTTCAGTAGGAGGAAGAGGAAACAGGGTAACTGTTAAATTGCTCACTTAGATCTGAACTTGAACAGGCAAAAATGGAAGAGGCCCCAGCAGGAAGAGAAGAGGGAATTGTAAGGATGCTGAAGAAATTTCTAGCATTCAACATAACTCAGTTTTCCTCTCTTCCTGGGCACAAAGTGATATAATTTTCCTCCTTCTCCTTGTGGTTATGGGGAACAGTGCATTTGGTTGGGATCAATGGGTTGTGGTAAATTAGGGTGTGCTTTGTACCTAAGGAAAAAGATAGGACATTTTGGCATGACTGTAGTGGTCACTTCCCTGCCTCACAATCTAAAGCAACCACGATTGAGCTGAGGGAACCATAGGACTGAAGTAGCCTGGATTGTTGAGTTGCTAGGTGGACATTTCCTGAAAGTTGTCCTGATTTCTAGTAACAAAGGAAGACGTTTAGTTGTGTTGAGCTTTGAGATGGTGGAGCACTTGGTACAGAACAACTTACCAAGTCCTGGCAAAGAAGACTCCACTAGCGGACACTTTTTCTTGAAGATGAGTGTAGGTGCTATAAAAGAGGGGCTGGGATAGAAAAGAGAGATAACTTTGCAATTTTTGAAGCCAATAAGTGGAGTTATAGAAATCCCTGTTGCTTTATGTAAAAAAAAAATATAATCAAACCCATATTTCAATTTGTTTGCCAAATGAGAAACAGATGGAAAATTACTTCAAATACAACTGTTCTTGACTTTAAGAAAGCAAATATTCTCTGAGATCAAAAGAAGAATTTAGATACGCTAAGTCTGGTAATGAAGGTTTTTTCTTCTAACATCTATCAGTATTCCCATTTCATCATATTATCAATTTTTATTTCATTCATGTAAATGTGCAAGTACAACATTTTGCATTGTGTATGTGTGTGTGTGTGCATGTGTGTTATAAAACTGAGTTAATGTTATTTGGTTCTGCCAGGGAAATTCCGATTTAACTTATCAGCTCCATAATGAAATGAGCTTTAGGTAGATAGGCTCAGATCTCTAACTTCTAGAGAGAGAGAAATGATCATTTTGTATTTAGCTGCAAAATTGGAAACAGAAAAATGTACAAAGTTGAAAAGACATAAGAAAATCAGCAATATACTTTGCAAAAATATCTTAATTGTGTCATGGTTATTGGGCAGGTGTTAATGTTTAGTTCTCTGGGCATTGAGAATCCATTAATTTAGGAATTCATCAAATTATTATATACATGTATGTGTGTGTATATATATATATATGTATATATGTATGTGTATATATATGCAACACACACACACACACACACACATACACATACATATATATAGTTCTTACAATATGCCTGAATATTAGCGGTTCTGATAATTTATCAGAGGTAATGCAGGAATGACCCATGCTCACTTAAAACAAACATTCAAGTAAGAGGAAACAGAATATAATTGATACATAAAAAATAAAATAACAAGAAATGAGTGTGATATATGGCATATAAGGATAGGAGTTATTGAAATTCTAGAAACTTCTTTAAGTAGGGTGGTCATGAAAGCCTTTCTGAAGAGGTCTTTTGAAAACAGAAACTTTTATGACAAGAAGGAACCAATTTTGCAATGATACAGGGAAACTGGTTTGCAGGACAAGAAAACCATAGCTACAGAGGCCCTGGTGTGGGAAGTATTTGGTATAGACTAGGAATAGGAAGAGGATCTACTCCAGCAGCGTGAGCAGGGCATAAAGTGGCAGGACATGAAGTAGGAGGATTCTCATTGCATAGTGACTCATAATAGAAAAGTAGAGTTTGAATTTCTTTCTCTGCAATGAGAAGCCATTGAAGAGATGTAACCAGAGGGGTGACGTGATCTTAATTCATTTTATTTTTAAAATAAAATCCATAGCTCTGCAGAGAATGAAGAAAGGTGGGTTAAGAAAGGAAGTCTGAAGACCAGTTGAAGAGGTTATTATAGTCGTACAAGAAATACAGCAGAGTAGAAGGATTAGAGATTAAAAAAAATGATCTATTTTGGATATGTTGTGAAAGGGCAATCAATAGAACTTAATTGTAAGCTAGAACGTGGGGCTGGGAGAGAATTCAAGGAAGAGTCCTCCATGGTTGACTTAAGCAACCAAGTACGTAATCTTTCCATTTACTGATATGGAGATGATGGAGGGAGGTAGAGGAAGCAGTAGGGGTAGGGAGGGTAGTTTTTTGCTTCAATCATTTTAAATATGAAATGCAACATTTGAGAAAAGATGATAAGATAGCAGTTAGACACAATAGTATGAAGTTAAGGGATAAAATTATGCTTGGAGGGGAAAAAAAGAAGACTATGAAACTTATTTGTAAAACTGTGAGACTAAACGCTATTACCTGGTAACATGTGTCTTCAGTGAGAGTGGATTTGGAGAAGAAGAAATAACCCTGTCTTGAGCTTGGTGGCACACCTCTATTTATCGAGCAAGAATGAGCAAGAGGAGTGAAGAGATTGGAGGAAAACCAGGGGAATCCATGGGTTGAAAGCTAAAGCAAAGTGTTCCAGCTTAATGGCACCAGTTCCCATTGAGAGGTCACATAGGAATCACAGAGGAATTCCTACTGCTGGATTGAGCTTCGTGAAGTTCATTAGTGACCTTGACTAGAGACACTATGTGAAAGGATGGTAGGGGTAGAAGCCAAATGAAGTGCACTGGGGAAAAGAATGGAGGTTGGCATGAGAAAGTGGAGGTAGTGACTACAAAAGAATTCCATGAAAAGGTATTGTGAGCCCAGGTGAGCTAGGGGCGATAGGAGGTCTAGGGAAGCTTTTGTTATTTTCTAAATAGAAATTTCTAAGGCACGCGTTAGTCCTTTTGAGAGTATTTCAGAGAAAAAGGAGAAGCAAATGACAAGAGAAAGGAAATTATTAATGGAAATCCTTGAGGAGGGGAGAGAGATTAGAATTGAGAGCCTAAGTGAACCTATGGGAGCAGGTCAATGCCATCCGATTGTTTGTTTTCTCAACGAGTTTGAAAGAGAATGTCAGTATAAAATAAGGGAGAAGTGGGCACTCCACCTTCTACCTTATTCACATGAGGTTTGCCAAGGGAGCGACAATTCATAGTAGTCCCTCATTTGAGTGGAAGTCAATGCACTAGAAATGCATTGTACTTTCTGAGATTACAGTCATGTTCTTAAAACTACAGCAAGAGCGCAGCTGTGTTTTCCTCCAGCAAAGGATAGTTGTTTTGATACATGAACAGAAGAACGAGGTCACTGGGTTTAATTTTACAAGTAAGTGAGAATGACCAAGGAAAAGAGAAGGACATGAAGACGTTAGAGAAAACTTAATGACAGGGTATTGATTTTAGCTGAGTTAAGGAGAAAAATCAGGATTGAAGGAAAATGATGGAAAGTGAAAAAGAGTACTGTCAATAAATTTGGAGTTCTCATTAAGTTTAAAGCAATGATAGAAAAGGACCACCAGGTATGTGACCAAGAAGAGTGTTAGAAAGTGCTAGTTGCTAATATCGGCTCATGTCTCCAAGCTTAGATAATAATTAGAAATAAGCAAAAATCTTAGAAGGGTGTGTGACTACAGCGAATGAAGACATTTCACATCAATTAGGTCTGTAAATTATAGCTAATGGAATGTGAATGAAAGTGTCCCGTGTATCTTTTAGGAAACTTCCTTACATATGCAATGGCTAGAGCATAAGCAACAATCCTGCAGCATTCAGTGAAAATTTTGTTTTAATAACAGAGGAGCAGAGCAGAAGGTATCTGAGAGCCTGATGCTTCTGAGAACCTACCTAACCAGCGTCTGTCTCTTTGAATATAATTTTACATGAGCTTCTATGAGCTTTGCTCAATTTCACATCTGTTTTTTTCCTGGGGGAGTGGGAGATTTTTGTTGTTATATGTGATCATACTTGCTGCTAAATAAAACAGAAAGAGGAGAGGTTGTTTGAGTTTTGAGATTTTGAAAGTGATACAATTATTGGTAAATGTGGAGGTCAAAGGTCATAGCCATGGAATGGAAGAAGACATATCACTAGGCATGAAAAAGGTTGTGAAAGTGAGAGGTGAAGTGGATGTAAAGATGGCTACAGCAGATGTCAAAATCACATATTTGTAGGGGAATTTAAGCAGGAAAAGGAAAATAATGAGCCAGGATCTAAAATCACCAGTGAATCTTGGAGAGTCACCCAGGGTCTACAGGGCGCAAAGGGACAGGTGGTAGATGACTGAGAGAAAAGTGATATATTGAGAAGGACATTGGGGCCCAGAAGCAGAAAGGCTGCTTAGGCTGCTCCCCATTTTAAGAAAAAGTTGTGCTAGTTCAGGCTCTGGAGTCCCAATCCTGAGCTACAAGCCTTATTTCTCTTTCTAGTAACCAACTTTGGTCAAGTCACTTAACGTGTCTGGGCTTCAGTTTTCTCATTAGTAAAATGTGGACAATAGAACATTGGGTGGTGTGGGGATGAAAGTCGATAATTCATGTGACATTGTTAGCATACTGTCTTATAAGTTGTTAGCTCCAGGCATGTTAACTTTGGTTTTTGTTTCCCTTTTCAAAACATACCAATTGCATACCAGCCCTGGAATATAGCACCAGGAGAGAATATTTATTTCCCATTCTTTAAGTTTTCAAGTGAGGTCAGAGAATGAAGATTTATCTCTTCAAGAGGAGCAGTGTTACAGGCTCACGGTACACTGCCTCATTCCCAAGATTAAGCTATTGCACCTGAAGTGTCTTACTTTTATTTTGTAAAATTAGAGAACTATCTCTGAATCTGTATAATGCATCCACTTTAGGCTCTTCATCTCTTAGAGACTTATGGACATGGGTTGCCTCCTTCTAGTACTTCCGTAAAGCACACACATGTGGGTGTAGATGAGGTCAAGTCTAGAGAGTAAGGTATACTCCTGGGATCCAGGTCCCTCTGCACTTGATGTACTTAAGCCAGACGGTACTTCTCTGGTGTTTTAGTTGTCCCCCCAACACACACACACTTTGTAACCAAAAGACCTGACAAGAACAAAATAAAGGAGGAGAAAGTTTTTTGGAATTCACAATTTTAGAAGGCCAACTCCATAGCTCTGAGCCCAATGTGAAGCAGAACATCATGGCAGAAGGGAATGGTGGAAGATAGCAGCTTAGACAATCAGGAAGCGGAGAGAAGGATACACTCAACAGGAGCAAAATATAAACCCCAATGTTACTTCCCCCAGTAACCTCTTCCAACCATACCCTACTTGACTCCAGTCACTGTGCAGCTAATCCATATCAGTGGATATATATCCAGAACCCAATTATTTCATCTCTGAAAATTCTTGCATTTTCTCATAGGAACTCTTTTGAGCGACACCTCACATCTCAACCCTAACCTCTGGTAAAAGTCTGGCAAATGTCTGTTCTAGAAATCCATGAATTCCCCAAGGCAGAGGACACATGGGGGACAGGGACAGTTGAGAAACCAACTAGCTTTTTTTTAACTCAACCTGTTTCATAATAAACCTCTTACTGAGCTCTGACAGATAGATACCACCCATGGCTGCCTGTCAATTTCTTTAGAAATCTTTGAGGGAAGCAGTTTGATTATCACATGAAACCACTTGAAATAAATGAATCCTCACAGAGGAAGCGACTTATGGGATATAGGCATTCTGAGGGGAGAGATGATAAATCGTCCTAAGCGTAAAAGAGCAAAAAGATATCCAATGAGCAAAATGAAAGAAAACGCCACAGTGTTGAACCTGGAGAAAATCCATGTGATAAAAATGTTCTTGAAACGCAAATAAATGATAGCAAGCTTTAATGTAACAGAATTAAAAACAAAACAGATCGAAATAAGCTAGGAATGCCAAGGTAGATTGTGGATTGACAAATGAACCATTATAAGTGAATAATAAAATCATGCTAAAAGGGGCAAAGCCGGCGGGGGGGTGGGGGGAATGTTGACCTAAATAACCTGAGAATGCTGTGTTTAGATATTTTAAAGCTAGACATAAAAATAACTGCACTCTACTTGGTAAATTTATTTTCCACAGGGTTAGCAATTCTGACACTACATTAAATATATATATATACAACTTTAAATAAATAAGTTAATAAATTATAGATCATAAGAACCAGGTGTCTCACCGTAAGAAAAAGAAATCACAAAACGAACCAGAGAAGAAGCTAAAATGAAACTTGGTGGTGGCCGTATTAGCCTTGGAGATAACAGTGTGAACGGGCATATACAAATGAATAACTGTGTACACATGAGCTAGTAGTAGGCAGATATACATTTCCTATGTCTGTCCACTGAAAGGTCCTAGAAGAAAGGCCATTTCAGTAGTCACAAGCATATCTAGTACCTTGATCTTGGCTTCTTAATACTGTTTCTCTGAGAAAAGGAACTCGAGGCTCCTTGGAGAAACAGCTGATTGTACAGTTCAGGCAGGGAAAACACAAAATAATTCCAGAAAGTAAGCAAGTGAAAGTAGAAGCATATTTAAAAATGCAGAGGTCAAACTGAAAGATCTTCTGATGGCCAGAGCCAAAATAATTTAAGCACTGATATGAGAGAAAGGTAACACTGGATTATAAACCAAGAAATAAAGAAATCATCCATGAGTATATATATACATATACATATAAATAAATAATTGAAGACAGAGATGCGGGAGAAGGAACAAATCTCCCATAAAGAAGAATTCTAAATGATGAGTGCAGAAAGAATGAAGGAAATTAAAAATCACTATTAGAACACCATAGAAATAACTGCTTCAGGCAAAACACCTATTGATACATGCCCAAATTCATGGGAGAAATTTAAAAGGAAGTGGGATCTTATATAACCTCTGTGCGTCTCCCTCAAAATAACTATTAATTATGATGGTGGTTTTTAGTATATATCCACATGGTCTTGATATTTTGGAGAACATTTTCCATTGCCTGCAGTGTGGAGTAGACTTGATGACTCACTTCTAACAAATAGAGTGTGGAAAGATCTTAAGAGTAACTTCACAATGGGGAAAAAAAAAACAGGCAGACACTATATTAACCAAGTGATCAACGATAATGTCACCATCAATGAGTCATGTGAATATGGCATACCTCCTGACAGAATGTAGTGAAGGCTCTTTTCTCTCTGTAGTATTTCCTTCCCCAAATCCATAATTTCAATCTATTCTTAAAATATCAGATAAACTGACATGCTGAGGCAGGAGGATGGCAAGTTTCAGGCCAGCCTCAGCAAATTAGTGAGACTCTGTCTCAAAAAAATAAAAAAAGGGCTAGGGATATGGGTGAGTGTTTAAGCAACCCTGGATCCCATCACCATTCCAAAAATTAAACATATTAATTAATTAGTTGATTAATATTTAAATAGGGCTGGGGTATAATTCACTGGTAAAGCACCCCTGGGTTCAATCACCCATACCTCCCCCCCCAAAAAAAATCAGATAAATACCAACACAGGGTCATTGTGTAAAATATAAGTGATGCTTTTCTAACATACATAAAACACTGGGGAGACAAGAAGACATAATTACTTAGTTCAATCTGTCACTCTGAATTGGATGCTGGAACAGATAAAGGGTATTATTGGGAACACTGGTAAAATAATCCAAATAAAGCCGAGGGTTAATTAATAGCCATCTATTAATGATAATGCTTTGAATTTGATAACTATATCAAGATTATGTAAATTGTTAACATGGGAGTAAGCTGGTGAAAAGGCATATGGGAGTTCTTTGTATTACCTTTGTAACTCTACCAAACATCTAAAATTGCTTCCAATGTACATTTTTTTAAAGGAATTTATAATTTTTGTGCAAACACAATACAACATTAACCTGTTAGAGATTTGAGTCTGTGGCCATTCTCCTTGTTTCTTATTTTATTATGCTTTAGACCTTTTCCAAGTTTAGGACAGCGATTAAGAATGTGGACCCTGAAGTTAGAAAAATGAACAGTCATGTAATCATCCCCACAGAACTAATTTCTCTAAGATGCAGAGAATCGTAAAATTGCAATATCCAACTCACAGGAGAGTGCTAAGGATGCAATAAGATGATACCTGTAAAACACAAGCCTGGTGCCCAATATTACTACTTGTGAATTGCATTTTGAACTATTATCAATATTGTTGTGTTGATTGTTGTAACACTGTCATTAGGGCTTAGTAATAAAATCCCTTGAACACATAAAACCTCTATGCTTGTTTCAGCTACAATGAAAGTTTAGGTTTTGTGAAAATGAAGAAAGTGGGGAAAATGGGAAGGTAGTGATCAAGTGGTAATAGTGACAGAGCAGGTTGATCTTTGGAGCTGCGTCAAGGAAGATAGAGGTGTCGCGTACAAAGGTTTTGGCAGAGGGAGCAATATTGCCTCTGGTGTCAGATATAGTCTCCATCATTTACTGAGCAAGTATTTACCATTCATCTCTGCACTGTTTACCTTCTACTAAGGAAGCATGTTAAATGTTGACCCAGTTATCCCACTCCTTGGTGAATATCCAAGGGATTTTAAATCAGCATTCTATAGTGATGCAGCCACATCAATGTTTATAGCAGCACAATTCACAATAGCCAAGCTATGGAATCAACCTAGGCACTCTTCAACAGATAAATGGATAAAGAAAATGTGATTTATATACACAATGGAATATTACTCAGCCATAATGAGGAATGAGTTTACAGTATGTAAATAGATGGATCTGGAGACTATAACACTAAGTGAAATAAGCCAATCCCCCCAAAAAAACACAGGTCAAATGTTCTTTCTGGTATGTTAATACTAACACACAACAAGGGGAGTGGGGAAAGAATAGAAATTCAGTGGGTTGGACAGTGGAAAATGAAGAAGGTGAGGCAGGAATAGTAAAGACAATGGAATGAATTAGACATAACTTTCCTATGTACATATATGAAACACCACAATGAATCTCAACATTGAATACACCCAC